TTAGAGGATCTTCAAATTTTCCTTTAGGTTTCGTAATCAATGGCCTTCTTTCAGCTGGATTATTAAAAACGTCCGCAGGATTCTTTATATCTTGAAACTCTTGTAGCTTTTGACGTGCTCTTTCCGGATTTCCTTTCACGTCATCTCGACGGAGAACTATCTTGATAAGAACTAGTGGCAAACAACTGAATACCTCTTTCAGTTGTTTTGATTTTCGTTCAAATTCTCTTGGGTCTTCTTCTTCCTTCTCCAGCCCTTCATGCTCGTACTTATCGACAGCAGATAAAAAACCCAACTTCATGTCAACATTCTTCTCAACTGTTTCACGAACTCCGTCATCCCCTTTGTCAACAAAGTCACTGGCATTAAAAAAACCACGATCTTTATTTCCTTCTTCTCCTCGTTGTTGTTGTTGTTGTTGTTGTTTTTCTTCTTCTTTTTCCTCTTCTTCTTCTCCTGCTTTCTCTTCTTCTTTCTCCTCTTTTATTTTTTTCCCTTCTTTTTTCTCTTCTGTTTCCTCGCCTTTTTCTTCTTCTTCTTCTTCTTCTCCTTTCTCTCTTTTTTTTTCTTCTTCTTTTTTTTCGTCTTCTTCTTCCTCGTCCTTTCTTTCTTCCTCTTCTCCTTCTTCTTCTTCTTCTTCTTCGTCTTCTTTTTTTTCTTCTTCTTCATCGTTGCCGTCTGTGAATGAAAAAGTGAGGGACCAGCCAGTATTTATCAATGGTGGCCTTGAGATACATGTTATACCTCTCAAAGTCAACTAACAAAAAAAGGAAATACAGCTAATTACAAGCGCCCCAAAAGTCAGTGAAGGTGATAATACAGGACTGCTTACTTTGATCTGTATTATTTTAATAGTTTGGAGAAGAAAAGCGAAACGTCTAAATACGTTGGATCACCTAAAATAAGGCATCTTAATTCTTCACGTACTAGTTAAGCATACAACAATTCTAATCAATGAAAAGTTAGTTTCACATAATTTAAAGGTTAATTCACCGCGTAAAACTGAGAGGATGAAACTGAGCTGGCGTGAACTTTCATTCCTGATAACTCACGAACAGATCATAGACATAGAATAGAGAAATTCCTGCTAAATCTCCAAATTCAGTTGAAAGGTACGTACCTTTTATTTCATCAGCCATGGTGACTAAGGCTTTTCCATTCTTCAGCATCTGTACGTCC